CACTGCAGCATCCGTCTTGGGCATGCAAATGAATCCGGTGTGAACAAACAACACTGGTCTCAGAAGCTCCTGGCGTTTTGCTTCCTCCCACATTTGGGGCACCTGACAGCCTGCATGAACAGTCAAGTTGTGCTGCACAAGATGTGGCCCTGGCATAGGATCTGGGCTGTGCGATATTCATAGACTGGCCAAGGTATTTTTCATAAAAACTAAAGCAAGCAGGTGTCCCCAGTGAATGATCCAGTCACCCTAAACGAACAAATTATTTGGACATTGCTCATGATTTATGCTTTTATGCAAAGGTAGTATTTTTATTACAGATACTCTGCTTAAGTAATTAATTGCCTTGCAGGAGAACACAGCCTTCCAAGTGGCAAACTTGTCACTTCAGAATGTTCTTTGCTTGTTACTAAGAAAGAAAGAAAGAAAGAAAGAAAGAAAGAAAGAAAGAAAGAAAAAAAACACTGCCAGAAACAGCCTGGTGCTTTCTACAGTGTGCTACGGCAGATGAACTATTGTTGAGCAGCTACATTCATACCACAAGTATCATGTTCATACCCTCCTACCCCTTCCCCTGGCAATGCAAGGCAGACTAGATTAGTTAATTACATCTTTCCTCCTTAATGATGGAATACTTGGAAAACGCTTATTGATCCTACAGAACATAATTCATGACCTAATTATGGTGATAAAACTGCAAGATTATCATCTTGCCAGCTATTAACTTCTAACGCTGATCTGAGTTAATTAGAAAAGAGATAAGTGATTTCTACGTTCTTGATTTGCAACATAACAGCACGATGAATGAGGAAAGCTGCTAAAGGTTTGCCAAGCAATTTCTAGCTCTCAATCCACTCTCAACCTACTACTGATCCTGCCCAGGAAATACCGGACACGTTTAACACTTCAGCTTCATTTCTTCAGCCATTTGAGTCATTTGCTCAGTGGGACAACCATGTTTGATACTCCGAGTTTTGCAGAGGTTCAAATGTCTTTCCTCAGTGAGATCTCTTGGCTCTGCTTGCCATTTCAGCTCTAATCAACCAGCTTACTCCTTTTCTTTATTTGTCTTTTACAGAATTGAGGAAGTTAATCTAGGTTCTTGTTTTGGACTAAGTCTTCAGTGACTCTCAGTCTGGACAGAAAAAAAAACCAAACAAAAAAACCAAGAAGATCCTTGATTTCCAGAGTAAACTCACCTTCCCCTTAATTGCAATGATGGCTTGTGGCTGAGCAAAGAAAGAAGAATCTCTTCCCTCACCAGCCCTTCACTGTACTTTTCCTGAAAAGGATGTAGCCCCACCTAGGAACTAAGCTTTGATTTCCTTCATGGCTGCTCAGAGGACTGCCTGTCAGGGTCACACAATAAATCTAGAAGACGAGAAATGAGGAGTTTTCTACCCGACTCAGAGCTTGTCTACACAGGAAGCTAGTCAGCAGAAAATAGGATGTGCATTTGTAGAGCGTTACCTGTGCCACATGAACTTCCTGCGTGTCCGCTGTAATGCGCACAGGGTCTCAGTTCGGCTTCCGAACTGAAGTAAGCTCCCGTGCACAGACGCAATCTTAGTGGTCATTAGAAATGCCCACAGGAGTTATGACATAGCTACTGTGAGGCACGCTGTCTTCCCTACATAGGTAATCTGTTTGGTGTCGGTGTTATGACTGTTATCCTCAAAACGAGGGTGTAATTTCTTGGCCGCCTGCCACCCAGACAAGTCTTTAGCAGTTGAGACTATAAATGCTAAGACAATGGGCTGGTCAAGGAAAAACAGCTTTGAAGTTGGGCAAGAGTGACCAAACTGAGATTTCTAGTAATACCAGGAATTTAAGTTGCTATAAAATACCCAACAGTGGGCAGAAGCTAGCAAGTATTAGGGGTTAGTGTGGTGCGGAGCAGACCTTATTTTCTCATGTTACAGCATGAGTTCAACAAACCACACCAATCTCTCACTTTAGATGCAGATACCAAAGAAACCTCCTTTTGGTGAGAGTTAGACAGTTAATCCTGTGGGTACCACTGCTGCTGAGGTTGCTACTGACTTGCCCTGAAGCCGCCTGTCAATGCACACACACCACGCACAATTACTCAGCATAATAAGGCTATGAGGTAAGCATGAGTCCACATCAGCCAACCTGGTCTATCTCTGATGTAAGGCACCAGGTCAAGTGCTCTCGATTTCACCTTGCCATCAAAAATGCGCAGCTATCCTCACACAATCCGGCTTTCATCAAGCACATGACTGCTTTAAGGAAATATCGCGCAAGAGGAGAAAGAGTCTCATAGCAGAACTGGCACTGACAAAGCAGGAAAGCTCACCTCGTGTAAGTGCACACTCCAGTTAATCAATCAGGTCCTGGCTAATACCAGGAAACTTCAAGCTGGGAGAGGTATCTGTTGTAGGAGATTCTTAATTCAAAAGAAACTTGAAGCATGCAATAAAAGCTGATGGGAATCAAACAGTTTGCACATAAGGAATCTTCCATATCTTCAAAATCATTTGATTCATGTGCAAATAGGGCTCAAAATACCTTTGTGAGGTAACATCTCCCCTGTTATTTGCTAGCACCCAGTTTAAATGGTGGCACTGAGTTCTCACACTGTTTGTTCCAGACCACACAGAGCTCCACACTTCTGCACCCTTATTCTGAACGATGAGACTATACTGTCTTGTATAGTGCTACCAGTAATGCACACTTGAAAGGGAAGTACAAGAGGTTAGCAGGATCTTTGAACACCTTTAAGGTACTAGGTTTCCCAGAAGAGAAAGCAATGAGCAAGAAATGGAAAAAGAAAAGGTTACTTCTACTTTAAAAGTTGCTGAACTGGGAAGCACTTTGTTCTGTCACTTTCTGAAGTATTTCCGCTGTTACAGGGGGAGCCTATTCAAAAATGCTGTGGGTGATCTATTCCCAGCAAGAGAGATTTTGATGACCTATAGCTCATGAGAAGGAGGTTTTCATATTCTGCGATCTATTGTGTTGGACAGTCCATGACGAATCAGTTTCCTGCATTCGTCTCAGTCTCTTCCATGACATCCTCTCTAAAATTTTACTGCTTTATTGCTTACAAACACCTCCTCCCCACGCAATTCCTGCTGGGAAAGGCAGTTTACCATCTCTCTGAGGTTTTAATGAGAAACTTGTCAACTGAACATGCAGGAACTTATAGCACTTCTAATATCTTTGCGGAAAATGCATCATCTTGTTAAGAAGAAAGCATGAAAAGACCTCAGAGAATCATACGATTTTGCTGTTCAGAAAGAAATCTCTAGTCAGGAAACTACCACTACATAAAAGGCATGTGCGCTCAAATAATTGGATCAAAATTAGGTAAATATTACTAATTTCTCTGGTAAAGAATTAACTAAAAGAAAAAAGAAAACCAGGTCAGATCTAAGAGGAGAGCAAGAAAAGATACTATTTTACTTGAAGCAATTTGTCTAGTTTTTCTCTATTTTCTAAAACAAGAAAACCAAGAAAACTCAGTTTCTGAGAGAATTGGGTTGATAAGGTGACCTTAGTGTTTTACAAGCAAGTGCACAGAACTGAACTCAAAGAAACAGCAAGTAAGACATCCAAGATACCATCTCTGAAGTAAACGTGCAACAGGCATAAAAAATTATTACAGCTAAATTACACCACTGTGTTAAGGTTAAACATTACTCAAGGTTAAAGTTATTCTTGAAATTATATTCTTGACCCAAGTGAGAGCTGCACAAAAACAATGAGAAGCCACGCAAAGCATGGTCAATTTAAAAACGGCACATAAGCCCAACGCATTTCAGAGCTTTTCCGCTCAGCTGTGACATCTGTTGCTATCTGGACCATCACGTAGGTCTGACAGAAGTTCCACCCTTCCTAACTATCCAGGAACTGTGCATCACAGTCTAGTGAGCTCACTGCCACATCAGCAGGATAATGGAGAACGTTTCCTAGAACCCAAAAGAAAGATACCTGTGTTAACAGTTACTAAGAAAAGGTTACTTCAAGGCAGGAGGAACAGGAGAACGGGGAAAAAAAAATATCTTATTAACTAAAATACTTATTCTATGAGCAATTTTTTAAAGCGGAAATTATTTCTGTTTTGCTCAAAGCAAGGTCCCAAGGAAGTTACATGGGACAACTTGTCTTCAGGCACAAAATCTGTCAACTAAGATTCCAAGGAAGGCTCAACAGGTGAAAAGAAAGAAGATACGTGAGTATCAGAGATTCAGCTCTGACATTAAAAAAAAAAAGGTACTAATGACATTAAACTAATAATAATAATTCACATTTTATGAAATTCATTTTTCCAAAAAGCATCTCCAAAAACATCCAGTGAAGACTGGCAGAACACAATAGCCATTTTATCCACAGGGAAGCGAGGGGAAAAGAAAACGTCTCATCAGAGATCCCACCATATCTGCAATGGGCACAGTCCAGATGGACTCAGTTGGTAGGCAACACACATTTAAACATACGGTATCACTGATGAAAAATACACTCGTTTTTGAGAATCACTTTGAATCAAACAAGTACAGAGGAAAGAGCCTATTCATGAGCAGAGGGGAAACAGATGAGAACAAAAAATCAACAGCCTAAGGAGGAAGGGGGAAACTGCAACTGATTGGCACTGATGTTCTTAGCATTCACCCTACCTTACACCTGATCACCAGAGAACTGAAAAAGGTCAGAAGCTTTTATTATGATCCGTAGTCACATGAAAAATATCCACTGTGCTGAACAGAGAAATCCAGTAGGCAGCCAATAAAGGATCAAGCAGGTCTGGAACTGTTTTCTCCATAAGAAGTATTTTAGAACAAAGTTTGCGTAGCATGCTTTAGTAAATTAAGAAGTCATTCACTCAGAATGACTGAGAATTTGGACTCAACAAAAAGGAATCCAAAAACCATTAGACAACTAACTGACCTAGTGAAATTACAGGCACATTCTTCCAAGACAACAGAGTAAAGCTGTAAAGAATCACATATGCACATACATTCATGATTTTTACTTACATTTCAGTGGCTATGAATCCGGTGAGCTCAGACAGGAAGAGAAACAGTATGAAGAGACAGCAGCAGACAGAGACTGGAAAAGAGGCAAGGAGAGGAAAAGGTTAGTTTCATACCCCTAACAAAGCCAAACTGTTTTCATACAGGCATAGTATTCCTTCCAATGGATATACTACCCAGACACACTTGAAAACTAATATTCTTTAGAGATAATGACTCAGATGAGGCCAGAACAGTGACTTTAATGACATGGCAATACCCATCAGGATGTTGGGTATCTTAATTCTTGGGCCACCTCTTCCACCATGAGTTCCATTTCCCCATGGCTCCTGCATTCGCCTTTTCAGTACGGGATGTTGGTCTGCCAGCTCTCCCTCCTTCTCGACAAAGCTGCTTGACAAAGACTTCTTTGGAGCCCTTGCTCCAATTGTAATTTTAGTACTAAAACCTCCAGAAAGGAAAAAGAATCACCATTTCCTTGATTCGAAAGCATACCATCAGCTACACAGTGTTTTGCTGATTAGGAGACGTTTTGGTTCTTTGTCAAGCTCTAAGGCTACGTGTAAGTCATCTCACAGCCTGCACTACCCACTAGATAAAGCTGGCACAGCAGAGACACAGCAATAACGGACTAGTCTAGCCAATGCCTGATGCTTCTCCAATTTCTCCATTTGCTGATACATTGACTCTTCAGAGAGGGAAAATTCCCAGTGAAGGAATTGTGAAGTACCTGGATAACAAGTTCCATGTCTTTTCTAAAAATGCCAACCTAGAGTTAAAAAGAGGGAACCCAAAGTAACTGGCATATTACAGGTTACTCTTCATTGGGAAACTATTCAAAACATTGTACAGTGACATTCACACAGCAGTGGCAGAGTCACACAGGAGGGGCTGGAAGGAAGGACAGCTGTAAATCCTATTGAGCAGGGATGATTGGAGTAGACAAGGATGTGCCAAATCAAGGAGACAGGGCTGCAATGCGTATTTGTATTAAATAAAATACTCAAGTTCACCATGAATCACTACACAAAAGAGTAAACCAGGAAATGGCATGCTGTTCCAGGGCTGTGACAACAGGAGTACGATCTGGCTCACCTCTCAATCCCAGCAGAGTTACAATGACCAAGCACTCTTTGGAAATGACCACTTTATCACAGCCACTAATTAAGATTGAGAAATACATAAGAAAAACCCCGTTCCTCAATCTTATTCCACATGACCTATACATCCTTTCTACTACCCATTCCTTCAGGAAGCTCAAGCAACAACTGGCTGGGGAACAATTTTATCATACAATTGCACGTGTCCAAACTCCCTTGGTAGAGAACATCAGAGGCAAGGGAAGGAAAGAGGAGGTACTTGAGGCAAATACCGAGACAGACCCTCAAGTGACCTAAAGCCTTGTGCCTCATCCTTCAGATTAGTCAGTTTATAGTTCTGAGGAAAGAGATACACGTTGCTTCCCCTTCCTCAGAGTCATTTCAGAGGTGGATTGATTTACTGACCCTCTGAAAAGTGCAAGGGATTATAAGAGATGCCAAAAAACCCATTAGCTAGGACGAAGAAAAAGGAAAAATAAAGTCAAAGACCAGTAGGAAAATGGGAAGCAAGAAGGGATATTCATTTCTAAAGAGAAATCTCAGATGGTTGCACAGTTCCTTCCAAGTCTTGGCTGTCAAGACACACAACAACACTGCTGTAGCCCAGCTAAGCCACTGGCACGGTGCACCAGGCAGTGTGGGGGAGGAGAAAGGTCTACTTAAAGCACAGCAGCAAATTCTTATGAGAACATATACACCTACGTAAGAGCACAAAAAAAGCAACCTAGGCACAAGACTAGTTGATCCAGTGTTTCTTACTGTTAATTGCCGAACAGCAGGGAGACAAGATCTCTGATCTTTGGCAGTATGCAGGGGAGAGCATTTGGCATAGAGACAACCCTTTCTTCCTTAATTGCTTTCCATATTCCTCTCTGCTTGTTATCATCCTGTAAAGGATTTCCACACCATCAGCTAGACCTCTCTGTTCTCCAGCACTTCTACGCAAGCCCAGTACTACTAACTGTAAATTCTCTCCCAGAGCTTTCTCTCTCTTCCAATTTTTCAACTTTCTTCTCTGCCATTTACATCATCAAATTATCTTCTCCTTTTCCAGCATACAAAGCATTTGCTCCCTCGAGTCGCGTCTCCAATTCTCTCAGTGAAAGCTTATGACAATACTCACCAAACACAGTACAGTAAAATTCCACTAACCTATATCTAAAAAATCCTGCAAGAATGCCCTGAAACACTTGGCAGGGACTGACTTTCAAAGCTCCTCAATACTTTTGCCAGCCTTCAAATAGCATAGTCAGTTTTCAGCTTGTATAAGAGATTACTGAGGGTGGACATCAGAGAGGTATACAAAATCATGAGCAGCCTGAAGGAGATGAATGGAGAACTACCACTCACTGTCTCTTCCAGTATGGGAATGGGAGGGTAGGAGGAGGTTAAAAACAAGAGGAGGTTTGCCTTTACCCAACACCTGATTAAATTCTGAGAATTCTTGACTATGGATGTTTTAAGAAAAGAGCCTATAAGATTTCAAAAAGGAATCAGACATGCCCTGAAGAAGAAAATCATTGAGAGCTACTAAACACAAAGGAACCACCTCTACATCAAGAAGTTCAGAACTGCCAA